ACGCAGCCCTCCTCCTCCTCGCCACGACGGCCATCTTCCTGCCACCAGAGCCCCTGTACCCAGGAACTATCCCCATGGTAACCAGGGGTCTGCTGGGTACCTGCCGGGTTTCCCTCGGGAAAGTGAAGCCAGGATGCACAGGGTGCCGAGTCTGCAGAGACACTAAGGGAATGAAGAAAAAAACAGCATGTCACTCAAAACTATGCACTTTATTGAGAATTTTGAATAATTATATGTTAGCCTGTTAGTGCTTCATATAAGTGTTTTTAAAACTGCATTTATGATAAAAGAACCTGAAAGCAGTGCAAATGACAAGTGTAATTGTTAATTTGTTCACTGTATAAACTCTAACAATACAAGATTCTCATTTTCTTTACATTTAATTGTTTTAGTTCCAACATTTCCCAAATCTTTTCAAAGCATTGATCACTAAGTTTGTAAGCTAAATCTGTTTTAAATTGTACATTTATTGGTAATACTATGAGTAAGCTGACAATCCTTTTGTGCATCAAACAAAACAGGGTAACATATTTCTGCTTTAGAATTACCCATGAAAGAAATCCAAAGCTTGTGTTGACCAAGCTAGAGATTCATATGGGAACTGAATTATGATAAAGTTATGTAAAAAAAGGATTTAATAATCTAATATATATCTTTTAAGTCACTATCTATCACCAAAAGAGGTAACACACTGGGGATTGAGCCTGATAAAAGCCCTTAAACTTAAGGCTGCCAAAGAGAGGAGAAAACAGAATTAATATTAACTTTATTTGACAATAAAAAAAGATAGCTTCACATTGCCTTGTCATTTTTCATTCAATTAAATCTCAAGGCAGTAAATCAGTGAGCACTAGACGGATTTGTATAGTTATTAGAATCGGAACACATATTATTTTCTTCTCTGCTACAACATAGATTTGATCACATGCGATAACCTTACTTTAAGTTGTTGCTATTAGTCTTAGTTGATCATTTACTTTCCTATGAAATAGTTATTTCGATAAACAATTATTTTAAAACCAAATTCACAGCATATATTTTTCTCTTGGCCCCTCACACTGAGACTCTGAGCGCAGATGGACCTGTGACTGGGCCAAAGCATTAAACAAAAAGACATGGAGGCCATTTAACCCTAGCTAGCCGGGCTTAAATGGATCTCTTGCTCGTCTCTGGCTGGACACTACACACTCAACTTAAACCTGTTGTTCAGCTGTACGATACAAGTGAGGCTAAAACTGTAAATCACACACAAGAGAGTCAGATTATGTATTTGTCGGATATTAAAAACACAAATTTAGTCTTTGCCAACATTCAGATTTGAGCTGTCAGTCTTGTAATTGTTGTTCCTGACCTCCATCATGTAGCATGGATACTCGTATCATCTGATAACTGCGTTGCCATATCCAGTATCCTGTCAATCAGCCCGTCATCAAGCAGTCAGGCAGATGTAAAGTGATGGTGTCGTCTCATTAGTAACTTTATTACCATGAAATTCAATATATTGTTGGTTTTTCAAAGACATGAAATGTAATATCTGAGTGTTGAAAGGCTTGTCAATGAGGAATAAGTGTTGTGTCTAAATCATTCAAGACAACAACTCAACATGCTCATAGCGCCACTGACTGAATTACAGTGCCAATCAAATCCACTTCCATTGACGCTCATGATCAATTCATGGTAAGTAAGCATTAAGAATTAATTCTGCAGTTATATGAGAACTTGAGGATGGAGTAGGCCTATGCTTTATTCACTTATCATTGGCCAAGATTTGTCAATTGAATTATTTAATAAAGACTCAAGGAAGACTGAATAAATGATATTGACATGATCTGCATCCCTTATATTTATTCTGGTAATAACAGCCCCCTAATGCTCAGGGTCCCCCTCCTTCTGCTGCTGATGTGTTTTGGCTCCGTCCCAGTTCCCCTCCATGCTGGTACACTGTAGAAAACTGAGCCCTGATGGGTTGCACATTACCGGATATCTCAATGATGGTTATATATATTTGATTAACTAATGGTGAGGGTAGGAGCAAGTTATCGCAGCGCTACAAGCACTGATTTGACTGCTGCTACTGTGTCCTATTTATCATTTGGAGAGCAAAGAGTTTCAACTTAGTGCAAAGCTTATTTAATGTATCTTTAATATATATACATCTTGACCTTCTGGAAGATTAATTACAGTATATTGAGAAAAGGGATGGGGAGGAATACTGAATGTTTGTAGTAAAGGGAGGAGACAGTCAAGGGGAGGAGCGACAAAAGCTACAACACTGAGGGATTAGCTTTTCTTTCAGGTACAGGAAGTCTGTTGCTCTCTGCGTCGGCAGCCGGGCGTCTCTGGTTTCCTCCTGTATTATTCAAAAGGTCAGATCTGACATTTGACCATAACAGGTAGTAGTGGCTGCATCTCAGTGGTTGGAATACAGTGCTTGAATGTGAACTTAAATCATTATCCAGCATTTTGTAATGTTTACATAATTATCTGTTTGTGAAAGGATATGCCACACAGTGATAAGTCACTCCTGAAACTATGGCAAACTGGACCTTTTATATGGCCAATAAGAGGCTTTAGCAGTCAAACAAAAATTGTATTTTACAAAGCCATATTCAGTCTTTTTGTACAAAGTGTTTCCTTGTTGAGCTACAGCGAAAATATATTTACACCAACAACAAAAAAAAGAATATGAGTTATAAAACACCCTCTACTAACTGAGACTGCAAAGAGCCCACTTTAGCTGAACTTTGGACAAAACAACCAATTAGGTCTTTCGATGTACACATGGGCTTGTGAGAATTGTTTTGAGATAAACTTTACAACTATTTTAAGCTATCCT